TCAGGCAGTCCCCGTGCGAGGGGCCGAAGAGGCTTCCAAGGAGATTCATCGTGCCTCCTCCGTGAAGGCGACGGGGGTGGATGCGGCGGCCGCCGTGACGGTGCAGAGCCGCCGCCGCCGCTGCTGTTGGATGCTGGCGACGCGCTGCCCACGCCACCACTGCCTGCCGGCCGGTATCGACGCACAAACACGCACGCCCAAGCCGCTAGCGGAGAGGGAGGGAAAGAGAGAGGGAGGCACCCGCTGTGCAGCGCCACAGAAGCGAAAAGCAAGTGACCACGACAGGCTGCGCGAGAGCTCAAACACCACAAAAAAAGCAAAAAAAGGAAGAGCCTTCATTTATATGTTACGCCGTCGTTTCGAAGGAAGCAGCGTCCCCTTCGGGCGCACACAGCCCGGGGGCGACGGCCCCAACTTTCCCGCTTGTGTGGCTCCGCCGCCTGCGGGGACCGCTGCGTGCGGCAGGCTGGGTGTGACGGGCGTCGTCGATGGTTTGTGTGTGTCCCTCATTAGGCTTTTGCTGCAGAATACCCCACGTGAGGCCTGAATAAGCCAGTCACGCTCAACGGCCGTCACCACCACGAGGTACTCGCGCGTGGTGAGGAGCAGGTCGTGGTAGACAACGTAAACTGGCATCTCGGCCCGCACGTACACCGCCGAGGAGGGATGAACGCTACACACAACGCCGGAGTTAAGTAGCGGGCGGTACTCGCTCCAGTTGGTGCTGGAACGCTGCGCGGACTGCAGGCAGAATCCACTTGCTATACACTGCCGCACACGGTCCAGCCCCTTGGGACCACACGACACGACGGGAAGCTTCAGCTGCCGCATTCGCTCTAGCAGTTGCCGCTGCGTCTCACAGGCACGCAGAAGTGTGGGGAGGTGCAGAAAGTGGTCCTTCGCCCACTGACGCGAGTTGCCGTTTTCGACGAAGTGCGTGAGGACGTTGAGCAGTGTCAGGTGGTCCGATTCATTGACGTAGAAGCGGCCGTGGTGCTGGCGCGCCACTTCCTCCCGGTCCTTCGGTAACTCGAAGAGCTCCTTTGGGTCCGCCGAGATCATCGCCACAACTCGTACCGCCTCAACGCCGCAGTCTTTTCCTGCGCTCTCCACCAGCACCTTCGCGAGCGTCGGCGCCAGCGGAAACTCCAAGGCCTGTCGTCCCCCAGCCGTGATTGCGCCACTGTCGTCGAGAAGCCCCAGTACCCACAACTGCCACATGCTGCGGCAGATGTTTGCTGCCGGTGGAGGGTCCATAAAGTCAAAGTCCACCAGACGCGCGACGCCAATGCTCTTTAGCAGCAACACCACACTATCAATGCTGCTGCGCTGTATCTCCGGCACACTGCTGGGGAGCATCTCCTGCGCAAACTGGGCCTCTGTGTATAGGCGAAAGCACAACCCCTCCGTTGTTCGCCCGGCACGACCCTTGCGTTGATTCGCCTGCGCCTGCGAGATAGGGTAGCGCTGGAGCGTGTTCATCCCGAGCTTCGGCCGAAACACGTTCGTCTTCATAAACCCAGAGTCGACAACGTAGCGGACGCCGTCGATGGTCAGTGAGGTCTCGGCCACGTTGGTGGCGACGACGCACTTGCGCATTCCAGGCGGGGCGGCGTCAAGGACGCCACTCGCCGTTGCGCTCACCGCTTCCGAGAGGCACGGCAGCACTAACAGTGTCTCGAGCCACTTCGGGTCAACCTCGCTCAGGCGCCGTCGGATTAATTCACACGCCCCAAGCACGTCATCGCGGCCGGTCATAAAGACGAGAATATCGTGTTTTCCCTCCAGCGGCATTTGTACGTGCAGCTGACAGACGCGGAAGACCGCCTCGGCCACGTAGTCCTCGACCGGGGCCGCGGCGTACTGGACGTCGACCTCGTAGGTCTGGCCAGGGATCTCGTAGAAGGGGGCGTTCCCGAAAAACCTGGAGAACTTCAGGATGTCCATCGTGGCGGAGGTGACGACGAGCTTGAGGTCGGAGCGGCGACGTACGGCGGCCTGCAACACGCCGAGCAGGACGTCCGTGTTGACCGACCGCTCATGCGCCTCGTCGAGGACAATGACGCTGTACCTGCCGACGTCGGGGTCGCGTACCACCTCGCGGAGCAGCACCCCGTCGGTCATGAACTTCACTTCCGTCTCGTCGGTCGTGTTGTCGTCAAGGTGGATGGCGTACCCAACGCGTGTGCCCAAGGCGCAGCCCATCTCCGCACTCACGCGGCGCGCCACCCCAATGGCGGCCAGACGCCTGGGCTGCGTGCAGCCGATAATCCCGCCATTCCTGGCGTACCCGCGTTGGTGCAGGTACTGTACAAGCTGCGTCGTCTTCCCGCTGCCTGTCTCACCAATGACGATCGATACAGGGTTCTCGCCGATGCAGCGAAGCAGCTCCTCCTTGCAGCGGTAAATGGGCAGCTGGCGTTGCATCGTCAACAGCGCCAGCCGCTTAGCTCCGTAATCCTCAACGTGACTGCTCTCCTCCGCCAAACGTTCCCTGGCCTCCTGCACACGCTCCAACTTCTCCTGCCGCCTCCGCAACACCAATTCATGCTGTCGAGCACGTTCCTCCCTCTCATCCTTATCCACGGCGGTGGCAACTGCCGCAACCGCCGCATC